ATTCCTCGATGTGAGGGAGTGTGTTGGAGATTCCACATCAACTGGAGATATAATTAACTTATAATATATAATTGAGATATAAATCTCCTCTTATAAACCGGATTTGTAAGGTTAAGTTAGACACTTCTCCATTTCAAATATGATATCAAAGCTTATCCTAGTGAGGTTTGTTGACCTATCATTCCAACTGTTATCAAGCTACTATCAAATCACTTTTAATATTCAATTCCACACTCTTGAGCTGTTCATTCCTCAACATGAGAAAGTGTCATCTTACAAGTCGGTTTTATAAGATTGGGTTAGACACCTCCACATTTCAAATAATGATGATGGCTTTTGTTTTGATGTCTCCAACAACTTTTATGGAGACTTTTTCAACAACCTCCTATTTCTATGGCGACAACACCATTGTGTTCGTGTTGTGCCAATCTACCCAACCATACAAATTACACAAACTTTTGTTGTCTCTGACAACCTCCTTTTTCTATCACCTGACTCACCAAATCTCATGACATTATCTTCAAATTCACAAAAAGATATTAACCTTGCAAAATCAGATATTTGGACAGTTGAAATGTTGGATGTTAGTCACATGGCCTCTACTATCTCTCTCAATCGACACCGTTTTGTGCATCTACTCTCCTCTAATGATTCATGCATAATTAGGACATCTCGATGGCGCTTGATCACCCTCACCCTGGATGACACCAAGTCATGATTGTTAAAATGCAAGATCTTGATCACAATAATACATAGGACTTGATACCCCTTCCACCTAGGAAGAAAATTGTGGAATGTCGTCAAGTTTATGCTATTAAAGTTGACTCAAATGGTGAAGTCAATTGTCTCAAGACATGCTTAGTTGTTAAAGGATACACTCAAATTTATGGTCTTTATTATAGCAATATTTTTTTCCAGTGGCCAAAATGACTACTATTCGTTTATTCTTTGTCATGGCAACAATTCGTAATTAGCCACTTCATCAGTTAGATATCAAAAATATCTTTTTTCATGGTGATCTTGAGGAGGAGATTTATATGGAATAACCTCTTGGATTTGTTGTTCAAGGGGAGTCAGGCTTCATTTGTAATCTACGTCACTCCCTATATGGTCTTAAACAATCTCCTCTATTAGAATTATTATTAGTTAGTGGTTAGTAGTTGTTTTAAATGTTGTAATCCTATATATATATATATATATATATATATATATATATATATATATATATATATATATATATATATATATGAGATCATAGAGTGGAGAATATCATCCCACTGATATTAGTTCGGTCCAAAATATCCTACCTATACCCTTAGTGGAGCCATTTGTACCTCCTCCTCCTGACACCCAAAATTCCACACAAAATACATCGGAATCCTCGTCACTGCCTCTTATCACCTATCAACACAGGAGCCAAATGATCAGTCTCATGTCCCAAGATGAGTCTTCCTCAGCAGTTCCTTCTCAATCATCCCCTGATATCATGATTCCTGATAATAATGACTCAAGTTGGCCCATTGTCATTCGCAAAGGTACTCGCTATACTCGTAATCCACATCCTATTTACAATTTTCTTAGCTACCATAGATTGTCTCCTTCCTATTTTTCTTTTGTTTCTTCTATATCCATTATTACTATTCCAAAAAATGTGAAAGAGGCACTTGATCATCCTAGATGACGACAAGCTATGATTGATGAAATGCAAGCTCTTGAGCACAATGGTACATGGAACTTAGTTCCTCTTCCACCTGGGAAGGAGACTGTTGGTTGTCGTTGGGTCTATGCCATTAAATTTGGACCAAAAGGTGAAGTTGATCGAGTCAAAGCTAGACTAGTAGCAAAAGACTACACTCAGATCTATGGCCTTGACTACAGTGATACTTTTTCTCCTGTGGCCAAAATAACTACTGTTCAACTTTTCTTTGCTATGGTAGCTCTTCATCAGTTAGATATCAAGAATGTTTTCTTGCATGGTGATCTTGAGAAGGAAATTTACATGGAGCAACCTCCTGGTTTTGTTGCTCAGGGGAAGTCTAGTTTGGTTTGTAAGTTACATTGTGCTCTTTATGGTCTCAAACAATCTCCAAGTGCTTGGTTTGGAAAGTTTAGTCACATTGTTCAAAGTTTTGGACTAAAACGAAATGAATCAAATCATTCTGTTTTTTATTATACTGCTTTAGGAAAATGTGTTTATTTAATTATATATGTGGATGATATAGTCATTACAGGGGATGATGTTGATAAAATTTCTCTGCTAAAGAAACATTTATGCAATCACTTTCAAACTAAGGATCTTGGTTGTCTCAAATACTTTCTAGGGATTGAAGTGACTCAATCAAAAGAAGGCATCGTAGTCTCCCAAAGAAAGTATGCTTTAGATATCCTGAAAGAAACAAGCATGATTGATTGTAGACCAGTAGTCAACCCTATGGATCCAAATCAGAAATTAATGGCGTATCAGGGTGAACTGCTCTCTGATCCTGAGAGGTATAGAAGACTTGTTGGGAAACTCATTCATCTCACCATTACCAGACCTGACCTATCTTTTGTCGTTGGAGTTGTCAGTAAGTTTATGCAAAATCCGCGTACTGATCATTGGAATGTTGTCATTCACATCCTAAAATATCTCAAAAAGGCTTCAGGACAAGGTCTGTTGTATGAAGATAAAAGGGGTACCCAAATATCTGGGTATTGTGATGCTGATTGGGCTGGATCCCCTATTGACAGACGCTCCACTATAGGATATTGTGTTCTCATTGGAGGCAATATTATTTCTTGGAAAAGCAAGAAACAAAATGTAGCGGTCCGATCTAGTACTGAAGCTGAATATAGAGCAATGACATCTCTCACTTGTGAGCTAGTGTGGGTGAAACAATTCCTTCAAGAACTGAAATTTTGTGAGATCCAACAGCTGAAGATGTATTGCGACAATCAAACAGTTCTCTACATTGCCTCTAATCTGGTGTTTCATGAAAAGACCAAACATATAGAACTTGATTGTCATTTTATTCGTGAAAAATTGTTGTCTAAAGAAATTTTCACTAAATTTGTCGGGTCCAATGATCAACTTGCAAATATGTTGACAAAGTCTTTAAGAGGACCTCAAATTGAATTTATTTGTTCCAAGCTTGGCACATACAATTTGTATGCCCCAGCTTGAGGGGGAGTGTTAGAATTATTATTAGTTAGTGGTTAGTAGTTAGTAATTGGTGATTGGTAGTTGTTTTAAATGTTGTAATCCTATATATATATATATATATATATATATATATATATATATATATATATATATATATATATATGAGATCATAGAGTGAAGAATATCATCCTACTCGAATTATAAATCTTCATTTTAACTCTCTTAACTTCCTCGAACTTGGATTTGGAAATTTAGCCATATTGTGCAAGCATTTGGGCTGAAACAAAGTGAAGCAGATCATTCAATCTTTCACTGTCAAACTTCTCCTGATAAATGGTATATGTTGACGATATAGTTGTTACAAGGAGTGATGCTACAAGAATATCTCAACTAAAGGAACACTTGTGCAACCATTTTCAAACCAAAGACCTTGGGAGTCTCAAATCCTTCCTGGGAATTGAAGTAGCTCATTCAAGAAAGGACGTTGTGATATCCCAAAGGAAGTATGTACTAGATATTCTAAGGAAGAGAGGTATGATTGATTGTAGACCAGCAAACAATCCTATGGATCCAAATCCAAAACTAATGACGGAATAAGGTGAATCGTTCTCTGATCCAGAACGATACAAAAGACTGATTGGAAAACTTATATATCTTACCATTTCTAGACCTGATTTGTCTTTCGCAATTGGTGTTGTTAGCCAGTTCATGCAGGCTCCTCGCATTGACCATTGAAATGTCATCATCCATATCTCGAGATATCTAAAAAAGACTCTAAGACAAGGTTTGTTATATGAAGATAAAGGCAACACTCAAATATGTGGGTTATGATGTTGATTGGACTGGATCCCCTTCTATCAAGTGTTCTACTACTAAATATTATATTTTCTTTGTAGGAAATATTATTTCCTAAAAAAGCAAGAAATAAAATGTAATGACTCGATCAACTGCCGAAGCTGAATATAGGATAATGGCATCTCTCAATTGCAAACTGGTGTGGGTGAAACAACTCTTTCAAGAGCTCAAATTCTTTGAGATTCAGATTATGAAAAAGTATTGTGATAATCAAGTTGCACTTCACATTGCCTTTAATCCAATATTCTATGAGAGAACGAAACACATTAAGATTGACTATCATTTCATTATGGAAAAGTTGGTGACTAAGAAAATTTGTACAAAATTTATTGGATTTAATGATCTGTGAAAATCAAGTAGCGTTTCACATTGCCTCTAATCCAGTAATCCATGAGAGAACGAAACACATTAAGATTGACTATCATTTCGTTCTGAAAAAGTTGGTGACTAAGGAAATTTGTACGGAATTTATTGGATTTAATGATCAACTTGCAGATATATTAACAAAATCATTATGGGGTCCTCAGATTGAGTTCATTTGTTCCAAGCTTGGTACATATAATCTATATGCTCCAACTTGAGGGGAAGTGTTGAAATTATTAACCTATGAGTTGTATCTATCTCTGTACGTAGGTTTCTAGATCAACTTTAGTCCCTTAACTTTCCATTTACTCATTGTATTTGTTCTTTATCATTATATATAAAGGGATGATATGAGGGGTGTGATTAAGCCCTCTAAAACATATCTTTTTCTTTTTTACTTTTAAGTCTATCATTTGTCCTTGAGTGTCCAAGTACTTCATTCTATGCTTTTTTCCCATTCCCCTTTATACAATCCTTTTTCACTTGTTATTGGACAAACATGTATTGTACATAACCAGTATTTGTTTTTGCTTATTTGTTTTCTTTGAGTCAGTCCCATATTTTGTCGTTGTTCCTTCTAATCAAAACATATGCAAACACTTTCCCTTTTATTCTAATCTTCCTTTACCACATGACTCTGTCATGCATTGAGATAGTTCTCTGGCACCTCTTCGAATATATCAATGTTGTACATGACCTATTGACATTCAATTTCAAGCTTTGTGTCCAAACGGATAATGATATAGTGGGAGGCAATGCCTAACCCTTCCCCACCACTATCTCCTATACCAGTATCGGTCACATTTTCTATATCATTAGACGATATCAAATCTCCACTATTTATCGTATTGACTTTTTGTCTCAATATAAATAAATCTCGCATCTCACAAGATTTGGCTCAATGTTTCTCTCTTTCTTTATAGTTTAACAATCTATTAATGCAGTCTGATATCTATGGTTATTCTACATATTAGATATGATATCCAACCTATTTAACTTTTTAATGTGCTTAATTTTTGTCTTTTGTCATCATTTTTCTCTTGCAAAGGAACTAAAAGGAATTTGGAGGCTTGCATAATTCTGTTCACTAAACCAATCAAATTAAAAACTAACTCTTCAACAAATTGTGTCATATTACAGTTTTAAATTTTAGAAAACATTCATGTCCAACAAAAACAAAGGAAGAAAAACAATGTAACAAATTCTTCTTCGTATATTGCATGGGTCCATGATCTAGTAAAATGAAATAAATTCATGGTAGTCTGCTCCTGTCATACCTCATAATTTATTGCTCACCTAAACAAAATAACAACCAGACAAGAATGGAGAAAACAAAAGAGGAGTGAGAGAAAAACCTTGTACAAGGATGCAGCAGACTCAGACGGTACAGTTGGAATTGCATTGTGCCCCAGTGATTGCAAAGCATCCAAAGCATCCAAAGTCAGCTGCCAACCGGAAAGAGCAAACGCATCACTACTTGTGCTTGGAACAGAACTAGCACAGCCAGCAGCAGCAACATTGCCATTTACCCAAGGGCAACATTGATTGTGATAGGCAATAGGATCAAATTCAGCAGCTTCATAATTACTCTCTCCTTTTGGAGGACCTAAAGAATTGCACAAAGTCAGTAAGTAGCTATGCCCCAAAAACATGTACAACTAATGAATGAAGTGCAAAAGGACCATTATTCTTCATTTTTATTTTGATGCTTGATGAAAAGTAGAAGACAGGAATGTGTATAATAGTGACACTAGCCAAAATTATCAATCTTGGATAGTGGCGCATAGCAGCTAAACCTGAAATGCTAGTGGGATAGCAAGAAGCAGGACAACTACTTTTAAAACATTATACGAACTAAATAATTTATACTATACATAACTAAAAGACATTAAAGAAATTCATGGTAAATAATAAGTCACAATTTAGACACACAATCACCATCAATCTAGGAGCAATATTATCATAGTGATAAAATCAAAATGAAATGTGATGGTGAAATTAATAGAAAAATAACATAAAAATTAAATAAAAATAATAGTAGAATGTATATTGGGAAGTCTAAAGGAAGAAGTGATAGAACAAAAGGTTAAAAATTAATGTGCGAAAGAATTCAGGAAACTTTTCCTGGAATATTTCAGGGGTAAAAATGTGTATTTTGAAGTATATAATGTCATGGTAGCGCCATGATAGTGTGAACAGCCGCAGCCACTATTGAAAACTGCTCTGCTTTGCTATCAGCCAGTGAAAACTGGTCCATTTCACTAACAATGTAGGATAAAAAGAAAAAAAGTTCAAGATCATTAACATAGAGCTTACCTATCCCGTTTGCAATGGCAAATGATGATTTACCATCCTTCTTGATCTCTTCTTTAGTATTTTCACAACCCAAATAAATATTATCATTACTAGAACGAGATGGTTGACTAATATTAGCAGGCAGACGATTGCAATTTTGACTAATCTTTTCCCCACTTTCAACAGATTCTGCCTTTGTAGAACAGCCAATTTTTGACCCACTGTCTGTTCTTCCTGCAGAGTGAGACATCATCTCCTGGCTATCACCAATAGGATCTTCCCTGTTCATATCATCAGGGATAATCTCATCCATTAGACCTGGATCTGGAACAGATTCACCTGTCTGCCCCTGATTTTCAGCATCTTCTACTTTCTGTTCCATTTCACCAACAACACTATCAGCTCTGTGCACAGATATATCAGCCCCGTGGATTTCAGCTTCATGACTAGCACACATTCCAACACTCCCTCCACTGATGCCCAAACTAATTCCTTCTCGAGCCTGAGCAGTCACAGTTTCTGCATTGAAAAGTTCTTCCCCATAGTTTGTACTACTGACACCCATTTCACCAGGGACAACTTCAGTAGCAGTTTGTAAGCAAGTGCTTTGCTGAGCTAGATTGCTGTTATTCAGTTCAGATGTTTCATTCATGTCCACATTGCCATATGTGCTAGAGGAGGGGAAATGAACATCATCAAGATCCCCAGGGTAGTTTTCAACACTTTCCATAGAATCATCATTCACACTATGACATATTGTATCCATTGCAATGACAGATGATGCACGGGTTGAGTCCCTAGTAGATTGGATACCTATTGGATGGTCACTACCTTGAGGATTTGAAGAAAATCGATTTCCAGTTGCGTGAGCCTCAAAACCCCTTGAATGACTCGGACCAGCACCGGATGAGTCTCTTTGATGAGGTGAACAAAAAGTATCAAAAATATCAGATTCTCGATAACGTTTTGATGGGCCAGCTGAATATTGTCCACCATCCGTAACTTCATCACCATCACGATCAATAACAGTTCCTTCTACACTATCAGCCTGCTGCTGCAACCTAAGAATGTGACGATCATCTGAGCTTCCACCTTTTTCAAGATTTCTCTTTCGGGAGCTAGGCCCTCGTGATTCATATGAAGCTGCACGATCACCAATCTCACTTCCAGAAGGCTGGCCGATCATTAAGTCCCTTCCCATATCTTCATCATGAGTATATTCAGATGTTTCTGTCCTACCCAAAGGAGTAAAAGGAAAACCCCCTGCCATGGTAAGATTTAAATCCAAATCTTCGTTTGCTAACAATTTACCCACATTCGTTGTTGCAACTTCATCACGGTCTTCAGTTTGATCTTTCTCTATATCATCAGCTGCAATCCAACCACTGATTCCACTTGCTGCACTTGCTCCACGGGTCAATCCTATTTTTTTACTAGTATCAAGAATATCTATACTGTTAGGTACAAAACGAGTAGGACGAGGAACTGATAAAAAATCTGAAATTCTGACTGTAGCACCACATAAGCTACAATCAAGCAAAGGTGACCTTGAGTCAAGTCTAGTCTCTTTAAGAGATGCCTTCCCCTTTCTGGCATTCAATTTAGTAGAAGCAGAAACTGCCTTTGACCCAGGATCTTGAGTAAGATAACGTTGAGTTTTGCTTGGGCCGAAAGAATATCCATTTCTTTCAGATTGAGAAGAGTGCTCTTCACAATCTTGAACATTTAATAGCCACCTCGGTTCCCACCCACAGAGGCTTATAAGTTTCTGAGCCTGCCAAAAGCATGACATATTAATAGAAAATAAGCATGTGAGAGAGTAGCAACCAAAGCATCAACAAGACAAAAAAAAAGGTATGAAAAGCTTACACGAGTATATAAACAGTATGCCTCATCTTGAGAGTTTTCAAGCTCAGATATATTCTCTGGTTTGAGGTCTACTTCTCCTGAAATAAAATTCCGAGACTGCAATAGAAGGCGTTCAATCTGGGGGCCACGAGAAACAGATATCAACTCAATTGCAGAGATGGCTACCACAGGAAGACAGTGAAATTGTACTAGTCCATCACATCTATCCTTGTAGCCGCCAATTAAGGCGGATGGAGGAGTTGGAGGGAACTGCACTAAGCTTTCTGGACAACTGTTTCCTTTCCAAGGGCAATTTACTTTATGACCTGAATCCAGCTGCCTGGCAAAGGACTCGCTGGCATTTTGAGCTTTGGCCATGACAATAAGAAAGAAAAGTTAAAAACAAATGATGAATTTAATCAGCAGAGAAGTCCTTCTCGCCTAGGAACCAGGTACAGGTTGCTTCAAAACTAGATCAAAATAAGATTATGTGTGAGTTTGTGATTTTTTCTGTAAAAGTGGTTACTTCATAAATAAGCAGATTTCTTCATTTTTTTGTGTTTGTCTAATGTGCTCATTTAAAAATAAACAATTTTCGGCTTATTTTAATTTAATAACCAAATCCTACCTGCTTCTTAAATAAGTGAATATTTTTTAACAAACTGACCTATATTTGTTTGACTGTTTCAAGAAAAAAGGTATAAAAATATAAAAGCCTTTATTATTATACTTACATGCTAACTGGTATAAAAAACTATTTCTCAGCCAAATATCAAAGCCTGATCTTAACTGTTGATGGGACTGTCATCACATTGATCTTTTTTAACGAACAAATTCTATATATTCCTTAAACAGAAAACATAAATTCTACTAGAAGACAAATAGAAGTTAAGAATATAACTAGGTATGGGAGGAGAATAAAAAAAACCCTCTAAAATAAAAACTATACAGGAATAAGGAACAAGGGGGGAATTACAGAAGATATAGAAACCAAGCCTGGTCTCCACATTTCAAAGAATAGCACCCTGTCCCTGTAACAGACAGAGCTGAACTCTCAAGAAAAAAGAAAAATAAGAAAATAATCCTTTCCGCATAGCATATTTCAGATGAATTGACAAACTATCTATTAAATCTTGAATCTCATTTCATAGACAACAAATTATACAGCACTTCTACATTCATTTTTTGAACATAGAAAACTTCATATATGCAGTATCATTGCTTTTAATGTTCAACTTAAGCACTAAGTGAGGAAAGACTATATAAGGTACAACCACAAAACCCTTTTGACATCCATGTCCCACATAAAAGAATAGGTTATTGTTATAATTTCTACTCAGAGTTATTAACATGACATATTTCAGCGGAATTTCCAAAAAGTAGTTAGGTTGCAAATTTCAAATCACAAACCTTCAGCTGATGTCAAAGATGGCAATGCTGTAGAACTCAAGCAAGTACCACATGATTCGCAAGCAATTTTGTCTACACCATTATTTATCCAGCCTTTCTGAGCACAAGCCAATGAACTGATGATCTGGAGGAAATTAAAGAACATATGAGATCCTTAGAGACTGTGTCACATCGCTGTTACTACTAAAAATAAATGAGTACAGATTTGAGAGATAACACACTGGTAAAATTGTACAAAATTAATAGAATGGAACCAGAAAGAATTATATGTAATTCTGTTTACATAAATAATAGTGATTTTATTTACATTGTATAACAGTTTAAGTTCCTACCATAATCTATAAGCATGCATAAACAGAAACTATCACAGGGGTAATCATTATAAAGATAAAACAAGTATATGCTTTGTTGACTTCAGACATACAACTCTTTGTTCTCTACATGTACAGAACATCATTATTTAGATATTGAAGCATAAGTGAATGTAGTACACCAAACTACCCACAAGGAAGAGATAGCCTGAAACGTACACGTACAAGTACATATCGAAACATAAGTGAACCAATAATACATTCATAGAAAACCATGATCAGTGCAAACCTGAGGCTTCCCAAGCCAATTTGAAGGAATAAATGTAGCCAAACGTCTTAATAAATCTCCCCTTTCCCAAGGTCTACAACATCTGGAAGACGCACCAGCACTTGTGCTCAAGGAAGTCCATGGTGCTTGTGACCCAATACATGAGATAGAAGCCGCTTTAGAGACTTGTCCATGACTTGACCCATCTATACTGCCAACATTCATTGGAACAGCTGGGGATGATGCCCCAGCAGAACTGATAAAATTATGAAAAATTTGTCAATTGAGAAGGTCAAATAAGAAAAATAATAGACTAGACAATTGAATGTCCAATAAATATCACAATTTACAATCACCAGGCATACATCATATTTGCATTAAGTTCAAATAATTAAGCAACTATCTACTTGGCATATCAAGGGGGTTAATTCTATACTTGAGTTTTAGAAACACACATAGGAACCCAAGGATTTTCACTTCGGTAGCATTAAGACACGGGATATATATTGCAATTTTTGCACGAAAGAAACAAGAAAAAAATGAATTGGAATTAAATGAGAAGATCTTATTCCATAAATATGTAGGATCAACATTACAAAAATGATAGGGATTAATGAATATGTCACACAAGATAGAAGTTGAGTCATTAAAGTGGAGAAAGGCATTGCCTTATTTGTACAAAGTACCTACCATTCTCATAGGTAGGTTTTATCATACTGCTAACTATACAACCAGTTACATTCTATTACTGAATATTAGGCTTTAATTACACATGGGAAAATAGCAGGAATAGCATAAATGGGTATATTAAGATAGAGTGTGGCAACACAAAGGAAAAGATATGGAATAATTGCTTATGGGGGCAGATATTATTGTAATACCTATTCACAGAAAAAATGACAAAATTGGTTATGGTTAGTCACAAGCAGAGGTCACTGGAGGAAGAGAAGAGTAGATCACATAGGTTTTGTCTCTATAAAAAGGGATATAAGGAGATCAAGGTCGTTGAGAAATAAAACTATTAAAAAGCATTTCATGGTGAATAATATCCCTCCCAACAAATTGGTTTTTGACCAAACATACAGTCATAATATGCAATGACACCACCTAGTGATATAAGTAAGGTTATCAAACACCAGAGTTTACATAAACTAGAGAGAGGTCTATACACTGGAATCTGTAAACTTGTAAATTTACTTCATATAAAAAATTTGTTAAAATACCTATAAAAAAATATAATGATTAAACATTTTAATTCCATAGTAATGCAAAATATTAAACCTCAATAATGAAGTAAAACCAAATAAAACAAGTCCATACAAGACGTAAGTTCTTAATATGATAACACTTAAATAACTAATAATAAGAGAAATATATTAAAACAAGATTGAGCTTCTAATCGTTCGCTACAGAGAGAATATAAGATGGATTGTCCAGCTTCAACATATTAGCAAAGCACAACACTGTAGGGCAAAGAAGTTGTTATCACTTGCTTCAGCCTCAACACAGAGAATGGTGTCATGACAAGACAGAGAAGGCGTGATGAGAACGGCACCTTTGCCACCAACTTCCTTGAGCAGAAATGAATAGAAACAACAAAGAAATGGGATCACAAAGTGGGTCTTCTCCTTTCTCTTATTTTGCAACCAAAATGACACAGTGGCATTGTTTTCAATTAAAGAAAGCAAACCGTTGAACAAAACTTGGTCATGACCTCATGAGTTTGGCCAAGTTTACATTGAACCCACTTAGTCCACTAAAAAATGAGTTTGCATGCGGGTTAACTCAAATAGGGGGTATGAGCTCGTAAACTCAAATGTTTGAAGAGTTAAAACTTGAATTAGATAACCACGTATATAAGACGACTGTCGTTGTTCACAAAGGAGATATAATATGGTGAAGATGTAGCCTCTAGTACCGTTATCAACGGCAGATGGTGGAAAGCCAAAATCACACCATATAAGCACGCAATTGCGGCTTATGAACTGCCATATAGTGGGTTTCCCTTCACAAAATGCCTAAGGGGGTTGGCAAAAGGTCCACCATGCTGCCACGTTTAACAACAATGTTCTAGTGGAGTACTAAGTAGCAAAAAAAAAAAAAACACGAGGTGCCAAAAGCAATATTTGGTAGGATATATTAGCTTGCTTAGGAAGTTAAGCTTCAATTCTTTTTATCAATGAAACAGTACGTAGAATAATTATCTCTGGTAAGTCTCTAGTTATTATTAAGGACATTTATTCTTGGTAATAACTATGGGGGAGAAGGGTTTCAATTGAGTGGAGATGGATGTGATAGAAGGGCTCGAGCAAAATGGTAGAAAACTAAGGTATTTTGGCACAAATAACCAACACTGTGCTGGCCAATGCTATGCCACCTATGCTCCCCACCTATGCTGGAGCTTGGGCTAGCAAGCTTGAAATGAAAAGTATTATGTAGAAGTGATGGGTAACAAATGAGGAGATGGTGATCGGCAAATATAGTGCCAAACAACGACTAAGGTGAATGCTTCTTTACCATTCCAAGTGAAGGATGCCTAAGGTAGTTAAGACCTGATTGGCTGATTCCTAATGGTATCAAGGTGCTGAAGCCTGATGGAACTATTTCCTCCTTAAAACCTGCCATGTCACTAACCCGTTATTTAATTTTGGGGAAATAGGGAGAAACAAAATGGAAGAAGAGACACAGGATAGAAATAACAAATTATGACCATTTCAAACTATTCATATTTTATGACAACAGTAAAACAAATCCAAACAGTAATTTTATGTTAAAGAAAAATAATTGAGGAAAAATTATTATTTTTAATTTAATTAAATATTTTTCATTATTGCAAGAATATTTTTCATACAGTTTATTTCTTTTCACTCTTTCTTCGTCCCATTCAAACATGTGGAAACATCTTTCATTCTCATTTCTATCAAGCCAAACACATGATTTCAACTCTTCTCTGTTATTTCTATCCTTCCTATTTTTTCACACTGTTTACCTTTAAATCCAAACAAAGAAAACACAAAAGAGAAGCTTCCTAAAGACACATGACTCACTGTGTAAAAGTCAAACACTGGCAGAGAGTTCTGTATGAATCAGACCCAACAAGCTAGTAAATTCACCTAAACTTACCTAAGTTTAAATATTCTTAGTTTACCGGAATATTCTAGACAAACATAAATTATATTAAAACGAAGGGAATATTGTAGAGAAGCATAAATTATATTAAAACGAAACTAAGACAGTGAGGCCAACTCCTGTTAGTGTTTATGCACAATATCCATAAGAAATTTCAGGGACAGAATTCGGAAGCTGTCCTTTATTATTTCCTTAGTAATGACTTGAATGACGTGAAGGAAAACAAATACAAGCAAGAAACTACATAATAAGCAAGGGCATAACTGCATAAGCACCACAATTCAAAAGTACACAATTCCCAACAAAAACAACACGAAAACAGCGTCTTTCGTGAATTAGATCCAATTCTGGAGCTGCAGGAGCAGTTAGAACTATATCATTGCGTTTTACCGTCAAATTAATGTTCAAATAGCATGAAATGGGCAACACCCAACGAATTAAAAACAACGGTTACAAGAGTCCACGGAAAATAAAACCCTAATTTAGGAAGAATTTAAAGCTTGCGAGGAAGTGACCGGGAAGAGACGAGTACCTGGCAGCAGGTGTAGGATCAACAGTGCCTCCGGAGCTGATAACCTCTTCCCTCATTACCCCTTTCGTTCTCTCACTCTTTTTCTCTTGCTCTCAAATTCGAAGCATATGAAATTGACCAGGGAAAGAGTGGGATTGGCAGCTTTACGCATATAAGCAGTGTCAGCGCGTGAACACCACTACCAATACCAATACTTGCGATGCTAAATCCAATTCTACCCGTGTCCAGAGCCTTAGCTGCAATATGTATTTATATAAAACCAATAACATAGTTTTAAAACTTTCCTTTACAAAAAAAATATTATTCCCAACTAGATCCCTTCTCCAATTTATTTACTATTCTTGAATCATTCACCATTTACACTTAAACTTTGATTCTTATAAATCTGAATTATACTTTCGAAAATGGTTACTAAAACAGAAAAAAATAGTTCGAATTTAGTTGATGGGAATCGAATTTCGACTTGGTGTTTGTTTTTTAATGTTTAATTAAATATTTTATATTTTTAAGTAGTAAATAATTGTTATAAATATATTTTTTATTTATTTATTAATTTTAAATAGTAAAATTATATTAATAAATGTAAATTCTACGAATTCCAACTTTAAATAAATTAATTGTATATTATTAGAATATTTTACATTGTTATATATTTATTTATATTATTCATGTAGAAGTAATTATTTATACTCTTCATGTAAAATTAACTGTTGTGAGACTGAATTGAAGCTAATACAAATTTTTGAAAATTCTATGGCTTATATTTATTTATTAACATTAAAACTCATCTAAATTATATATCATCGTAGTTTCATAACTAAATTGATTAGATGGTCTAGTTTTGATAAATCTCCTATAAACTGGGTGATAGATTTGATAAGTTCAATCTTAATTATACTCTATCCGACAAAAGTTATTAAACAATAATAATATAACTATATAACTATTATTTAATTTATTAAACAAATTCACTAATATGTATTTTAAAATTATTAAACTATTCAAATATTGAATGATATAATTTTTTAAAAATATTCTTAAAAAATTAACAAAAAATAATTTAAAATTTAAAAAATATTAAAAACTAATTAACCCAAAAAAAGTCTATTGAATATAAATTAGTCTAAAAATTTGATCTAACAAAAATCAAACAATTTGTTTTATAAAACAAAAAATTATTACTACTTTGTATATTTATTATTACTATTTTCATTTTATAATTTATAAATTTTTTAATCACATTTTCATTTCTATCTTTACTTTTTATTTTGTGTTTTTTTTTCAATTTCACCTTTTTAATATTTTTTTCAATTAATTAGTTTTTTTTAAAATATAATAGCTGCAGACAATTGGGTATTGATTCATCTGTGATCGATAGGTTTTAAACAATAACTTTTTGCTTATAATTAAAATTTGGGATTTTGAAAAAATATCTTTAAATTCTTCTGGTGCCTGGTTCCGGTTTTAAATCTTTAACTTCATTTTGATGGAGGATAAAATAACCAAAGTTATCAAGATTTGCAACGGAAATAAGATAACCAAGTTATCACATAGACTTACAGTGGACATAAAGATAACCCAATTATCATGATTTTGTTATACACAAAATTATGAACCAGTTTCCACTAGAAGCCTCATCCCAAGGCACTACCTCTTAAAATGATTAGACTAACTTGAAGTACACAATTCCTTGGAAAGGTTTCATAATCTTAAGGAATTTTTTATAGTGTCAAAAGATAAAAATCTAACATGTATATGCATATATATGTATGCACAAAGGGACATTATCCGACGATATTTTTTACTGCAGGAATCTGCACAATGAAACAGACAACACATTAGAAGTCTAAATGAAAAAAAAAATGCTGAAACCAAAACATTTTCATCTATTTATCAGACGAAATATCTTGACTGGTATACAAAAGTAAGTACCTTTTATGTCTCTATAGGTTCTGCTTTCAAAATGATATGCCCTTCACTCACTTTCTTGTAGAACTGCAAACATAAATAAACAATCCATTTTAGACTCAAGATATTAATAAACCAGGAAAATTAGTTATTACCAGAAAAGTATCCTTCTTCATTAAACTGGATTACCTCATGGAATTTTAGATTATCTCCTGAAACCTTACGAACCTCAACCATGTAAGAATGAGGGACCATCTCATAGATCTGAAAAACAGAATTTAAGAAAAAACATTATTAAAAGGTATGAACCTGACAAACATTAAAAGTTATATCATCAACTGAAAAACATGTACCTTAGTGACTATAGATTGGTGACCATGGCGTCTAGCTAGTTCCTCTCTCAGAGTGATATTCATCTATGATACATACATAACAATAAATATTATTATTACTGTTAAATATTAGCATTGGCAAGTTTATTACTTGTTTTTTTTTTTTTACATATTGTATTCAAATTTAATTATTTTTATACAATAACATACACGTAATATAGGATCCACATAATTTTTTTTAATAAAATTTACTAATAAATGTGTATATATCTTATTTATGGATACATTTACAAATACGGGTGTGTTAGTGTTAGAGACAGGAATGTGTTGGAGACAGGAATAATGAGCATAACTTTTGTACCTGAAAGCTTCTCTTCCGAACTTTAAATCCTAAACTCTTTGCTGTAACCTCAATTTGCTCTATTATATCATCAATGGGATGTTGGGATATGAATATAGTTTCGCATTTAACGTGTACCTAGGTGTAAAAAAGTTAATTAATCTTAAGCAACTGGTCAAGAGACAAATTCAATCATAAATAAATAAATAACTCAAAACGAAAACTTGAACTAAATTGAAGTTTTTTAGTGTATACCTTGTTCAAAAGATTTCTTACAAGGTTGAAGCCGAGATAGGTAGAACACATCGCAAGCGCATTCGTGGCCGGTGGTTGTGATGAAGACCCTGTTTCTCCCTCCTTGGCTGGAAGAACTAGTGAATCCTGTCACAAAATTAGCCACATTAAGGTTACAATCCTATCTCAATAGAAGTTAAACCAAAAAGTTTTACAGCAATTCCACTGAAACTAGAACTTACATAATCAAAACCAACACTTTCCAGTGGAAATCTTAGTGGTTGATAAAACTTCATGAACCATTCATCCTGATACATCTGATCAATTGTGATCCGCTGTTTTATGCCATCAGAATAGGTGATATATTTTAACTCGTTTAACAACCAGACAGTAACACAAATTAAACATTCTATTAGGATCAAGTACTTACTGTATGAGGATTGGGATCAAGCATTTTCCGAACCAGTCTCTTTAAATCTTTAGAAAAAAAATTAGGTAGGGTGTAGTCAGCCTCACAAATCTGAGTCACCACAAATTAATAAAACCATGTGGTACACAGAATTCCGTTAGTTAAAAATGGCAAGTCAGCAAAGAACGATAAATTCCAGAATATATGTCTTGTGCCAACTAACAGTACTATCAAACCTTTTTATATAAAATACTCTCGTCAGCATCGGTGAAGGGCAAATAACCAGCAACCATAAAGAAAAGAGTGACACCGCATGCCCAAATATCAGCCTTTCGACCCTCATAGCCGTAAAATTTTGTTGCCTATGATACCAGAAAGTAAACAGTAATCTTAGGGTTTAGGAGAAAATTTGAAGTTTAAGAGCTAATGAATATTATCATACCTCTGGAGCGGTATATTTTGGCGTACCATATGTACAGTAAAGAAACCCATTCACCTAATAATAATAATAATAGGATAATCGATTATCAGTTTCACATACTGAACAAATTACAGATAAATCCAAACTAAAACTATTTTAAAATGTGGATCTATATATGAAAATAAGAATACAATAATAAATATTTACTACTACTTAAATAGAAATTAAAAATTTTAAAAGTTTAAAAAGAAATAGACGGAGTATTAATGGGTCAACAATAATCAACTAACATCAGCTTGTTTGGGGAGAGCACTCAATCCAAAATCTGATAATTTAATCACTCCATCATCACCCACCAACACATTCTCCGGCTGCAGTATTCAATCAACAAAAGACATGGAGTAAAATAATGATAATGAACTTGGTCTGTGAATCATTTATTTTTTTTAAATATGGGAAACAAAGGAAGGAACAATATATTAATGATGGATGCACTTCACTTTCCTTTATGTCGCCATGGGTAACACCTTTGCTGTGACAGTAATCCAAAGCACATATAAGCTGGTGGAAATATTTGTTTGCTTCGCGTTCTTTCATTCCACAGAGACTCGTCTTATTCTGAGGGGCAGGAAATGTTGCATTGTAAAGAGGTAATACATGGATTTTTAATCCCAATTTACAAGGGAAAAGTAAAAGTGTCTCACAATTTTATCAAACAGTTCCCCATCAACATGTTCCATTACAATATATATCTTTTTCTTGGTAGCCATCACCTACACCAGGAATAATGCATCCACATATCTAATACTGTTTCTTCAAGACAAAAAAGCTTAAAAAACTTGCAAAGGTTATATATGTAGGGAAGCAACCATTCCTTCTCACCTCAATCACACGCACCACATTTGGGTGTTTAACCATTCCCAGTATTGATATTTCTTGTTTAATCTGCATAATTAAGAACAGCAGAAAACACAGGTTTCAGAAAATACCACTTTCTTTGTCCTTTATCATTTTCCACTCACCTATGCATTAACTAACATTACTCGAAGCATGTATACCTACCCAAGATGAATATCAAGATGCGGAAGTACGGAACATTCTTTATCAAAGGAAAATGCCGGATAATTTAATCAATCTCTCTTCTTTCACAATATATATACATATATATAATGCATTTTATAAATGAAGATGAAGTATAATATAGTTTGAATCTGAAATGAAACGATGTCATAAAGTAATAGAAGTGAAAAGTGATCTTACAGCATTTTTTATTATTCTCCTGTGAGCTTCTTTCTTGCCTTCGAGAAGCTGTTCTTTGTTGAAAATTTTGATGGCCACAAAATCTCCGGTGGTAGTGTTACGTGCAAGCTTCACGACGGAGGAGTTTCCTTTACCCAAGACCCGACCAAGTTCATATCTTTCCGTACAGAGCGTTCTGTTCGGGTTAGTGCTACTGCTACTTGCTTCATTCGCCATAATCTTCTCTTGTTTATCTCACTCCCTCTCTAGCTGTCGTAATTTTTATTTATTAACCATTTTTCCTCTAAAACTTACAGCAAATTAACTGCTTATAACTAGCAAAGGATTAACATACTAATTATAATTAATTTTTTAGGTTTTAATAATTATATATTTAAACTTATTTTAACTCGTTGATTTTATAATCATTATACTTTATTCCTGTAAAGTCTCCTTAGTTTAGAACCGTTAAATAACAACCAAAAACTAATTTAGTTATACACATTTTCAACATTTTAATCGAAAGCATCAAATATTATATTATAATGTAATATGACCTTGGAGATAGATAATATATATTCGTAGCAATGTTTCGGGAAAATTTGAATAATCTAATTCGATACATTTAATTAGTTTAATTACATTTTTACTTCTAAAATTTGAAATGATTTATAACCATGTTCCCCAAAATTAAGTGTATTCAATTTATTCTTTATTATAAAATTTAAATATAAAATATATCATTATGTTTTCCTGTACCGAAGTCGAGATGAAATCATGCACGAAATTCCGTTGCCGGGACTTGAACCCGGGTCTCTCGGGTGAGAGCCGAGTATCCTGACCAACTAGACTACAACGGATTTGTTGCCCATATTTTGTTACGTTAATAATTGTCTTATTAACAATTTAAAAATTAAAGTTAAAATGTTTTTTTTTTAATTATTGTTTAATTAACACTTTAAAAATTAAAAGTTAATGTTAAAATGTTTTTACCTATCATAACATTTTTATCATGTGATTTTACTACATTATCTTTAGTTTTGGTAGTTTGAAATATGACCTTCGACATAATATATATTTTTAGAATTAAATCTGTAATGAAATGTTGAATCGAATTTAATAAAATTATATTTTTATAATATAATAAATATTAGTAATAATGTTTTTTATAAAAAAAAGAAAAATAATAAAATTATTTTAAATTACAATAAAAATTATAAATATAAAATATATTATAAAATAAAAGATGAATAATTATTAAAATAAAATAAAAATATAATAGAATAATTATAAAATATATTATATCTTTTATAAAAAAAGATTATATTAAAAAAAATCATCATAAATGTTTATTTTACCAAAATCAATTCGACTATAAAATTCATGCGATTTTTTTTATTGGTTTTGTCTTTATTTTTTTAATTTTATTTCAATTTAATTAAAATTTAATTATTTAAAAATAATGTGCCCATTTCTAATTCGATTCATTCAATTGAACCGACCGATTTAGTTTTAAAATAATGTAATATATAGTCATAACATTTTTATTTATAATATTTAAAATGATTTTGACCAGTTAAATTTAAGAGTATTTATTTATCTATGGAAATTAAAAAAAACATAATTTTAATTCATTAAAAATTAGAATAAATTTATTAAAATTATTTTTAGTCCTTAAACTTAAAGCTTAAGAACTGAAATAATATTTTACTGAAATATTAGAATAATTTTTTTAATTTGAAAGACTAGAAAAAAAAATTTCAAAATTTAGATACTAAAAAGATATAATTAAACAAATTTGAATGTAATTTTTATGAAAATAATCCAAACAGCACCATTTTTTTTTAACCCTATGATATTTCATTCTTTTTGAGTTAATCCTTTTAAAAAATATTTGATAGAATTAAAATTATTACATTTGTATATATATTTTTTCGTAATTTTCTTAAATTTTGAATTAAATCAATTTTAATTTTAATATTTTAAATGTTCTATACTAGATTGCTTTATAAAAAATTTACAAAATTATAACATGAAGGAAACATATAGTAACTGGTGACGGGAAAGGGTAGGGTAGGGTGGGGATCGTATTGGTTTAGCCTCTGCAATTCTCACTTTCAACTTTTTTAATTGTCCATTCCCTCCTTCGCGCTCCCTTTTCCCGTCTTCGAATCTGATCCGATGGATTAGAAATTTAGTCCACATCTTAATATTTTTTATTCTTGATTTATTTTATTTTACATTAATTTAAATAAATATTTATAATTTTTAATTATTATTAATTAAATATAAATTTAATTTATTATATTTATATTAAAATATTATATAAAAGAAATATTTAAATTTTTTTATCTAAATATAAAATATTTATAATATTATTATTATATATTATAACATTATATTCAAATATTTGATTACTTAATTATTTTCTAAGTTGTTATTTTAAATATTTATAAATATAAAATATATTATTTATAAGAAAATATTTAATAAGTTTATTCTTATTTAATTAATTTAAAATAATAAAAATTTTAATCATCAATTTATCTTAATCCTTTAAAATATAATTATTTTTATTAAAATAAAATTTAATATATAATAAATAAAAATAATAAAATTTCAAAATATTCTCTAACATAATAAAACATAATAAAGATAAATTAGAAAAAAATATATTAATTATTATTAAGATTGATGTACATATTTAGAAAAGATAAAAAAAGAAAAATTAACTTTTTATTTATCAAATTCATTAAAAAAGATTAAAAAACCATTTTAATTGAATAAATTAAAGAAATGTAAAAAAAAAGATAAAAAAATGATTAATCCTCGAGATTGAAAAAGATAAAAAAAAGTGAAAAAAAGTAAAAGAAAAATAAGAAGAGTGAATATAAAAAAATGACTTTATATATAATATGAAAAATAAAATAAAATATTTAAAAAATATTAATATTTTAAAATTTAAATTTAAATACAAAGTTGGGACCGAAATGAGAACGAGGTCTGGGATAGGGTTAGATTACATTAACTATTTTCGTCTATGGTTTCGACTTTTTAAAGCTGAAAAAATCGAATCCGTCCTAGTATTCGCTCAACTCGATTTTTCGTCAAACTCAAGGATAAAGACGGATCAAGACAGATTGACCTCACGTATATAAATTTAATTGTCACCGTAGTAATATATATTAAGAAAGTAATTATATAGATTGAAAACATGTTACTTAGGGATGACAAAACGGGTCGAGTTCGTCCCGTTTTACCGGTTTCGCCTTTGGCCTGCTAAAAGCGTAGGCGTATGGTCGACTCGATCATATTTTTTATTTTATTTTATTTTATTTTATTATTTTTAAATCAAATCTTTCAATAAAATTATCATTATCAACAATTATATATATATATATATATATATATATATATATATTTCAAGTTAATAATATAAATTGATATATTATTTTAATAAATTATATTTTAGAACAATTAAATTAAGATAAAATTTATATAATAATAAATACATGTAACAATAAAAATTTATTAATTTTTTATTTTTATATTGAAAAGTATGAGATATATATGAGTTTTACCTTATGAAGAAGAATGGTCAAGAAGAAAATAAGTAAGAGGAAAAGAGAGAGAGAGGGGTTTGTGTTTCGTAAAGGAAAGTATTTCCCATAATATGATGTGAGCTTAAGTAATTTTAAAAATTTTTTGAATTTTTTTAGTAGTGAGATACTTGAGACTTTATGAATTCTCTTTATGAGACACTCGAACCTTTTAAAATTTTCTTTTCATAAATCTTAATATTATATATTATCTTTTCTGACTTTTTTTATTGTATCACAATAAAAAGAAAACTATTAGTAAAACGGGTTATGGGTTGACCCGTCCTGCCATATTATAATAGTCTGCACACTGTCCGTCTGACTTAACCCGTTTTGTCATCCTAGTATTACTAGTTATTTGAGCATATTAAGTTGATATTTAAATAGGCATGCACTTATCCATTTTTATTTAGATAGATATTAAATAAAAATGAAATATATAAATAAAATTATCAAAGGAAACAATTTGATTTCACTTAAATCAATATAGAGAAAATATGTTAAACCACGCTTGTTCTTATTTCAAACTAACTGTCATCAAGTCTTATGTCAAATCAAAACGTTATTTCATCTTATTTAAAAAAAATAAAATAAATATCTATTTTTTAAAATTGATTTACATCAATAAAATCAATTTTAATTTTTAAATATAATAATTTGATATATATATATATATATATATATATATATATATATATATTAATTTTAACACTGACACATTGTGTAATTGGTATACAATTACTTTTATATTTTCTTCTATCTTTTCTCTACTAATCCATTTAGTAATAAAACACGCTCCACTCAAAATAACATGGTTGCCTGAGAGCAATTGATCTTATTCTAGCTTTTAGATTTTAGATTCAATGAAAATAGTTCAGTAAATTTTTTGTCCATATTTTTTTTAGTTTTCTTTTGTTGTTTTTGTCAACTTTAAATTATAATATATTTTTTTCACAACTGACACAATTTTGCTTAATAACGTATATTCCTTTAAGCATTTAGTGTTTGTTTGACTTTTATTTGTTTTAATTCGTTTCCTAATTCTCCTAACAAATTTTTGGAGGGAAATTAGCTTTGATTAGCATAATCAACTAGTGGCGAATTTTTCTATGATTTTTCTTATTTTACCTTTCATTCGTATAATTTGATAAAAAATTGAAAGTAATTTAAAATAGTAAGTTAGAATTCATTGTGTTTATTGGTTGAAACTAAATTCTATATCATAAAATATAAGTTAAAGAAGAAGATAAGAATTGTCTCTCAAAATATTATATATCATAATTTGTATATCTAATATAATGATGAGGTGATTTTGTTCTTAAAACTAGATTGATACGGTTATTACTAAGATTTTATGATTTAGTAGGTGAAGATTTTCACCTTAAGGAATTTCATACAATTTGCTCAATAATAACTCAAGGTGCAATGAAGATCACACTAAAAATCTTTTTTAAAAATCTTTTCATTTTCATCACATGAAGGGATGAGTAATTAGTTGTTTTATTTGTCACGAGGATCCATGACCACATGGGATAGTTTGGAAAGGTCATTCTAACAGAATTCCTTTTTCCTTTCCTCTAGGACTACTTTCATTAGAAAATATGTGGCATTAGACATCTTAAAGAAAACTTGTTTGAA